TCTGTTAAATAATTCAGTGAGCCGGGTAGTCATCTGCTGCATTCTACATTGATCGTTTAGGAAAGCCTGCTTGGGAAGTCGTCTAATTGTATCATAATTGGATGATTCCATTCATTGCATTAGTCTGGAAAGGTGACTTGATGCAGATGCGATTACACTCACGATTTCCGGTGGAACCTCGTACCTCAGGTGGTCATAGTGGTGGCTGTACTCAAACCTTGCCTTTTCTGCCACTGAGTCAAGGGAATTATCTAAATCAACTCACACATTCGCTAAATGCACTTATAATTGAAATATCGGCATCCCAAACGATATATTTTATTACCTATAAAATTCTTCGGGAAAGAATAGTGTTTATTGTGTGAATTTTCAAGTCTGGTTCCCCAGTTCTTCGTCAGATAAATGAGGGTTGTGCGAAAAAGGTGAACTCACAAAGAAGACTAACAAAAGATTCTACGGTCGGTCACTGTGCAGGAAGATAATCGTAGGTCGCACTTAATCATGCTGTCAATGGGGGAAGTAGCAGTTATCTGCATGTAATTATGCCGCCAGGGGGAATAGTTGTCATCCGCATTTAACCATGCGGTCAGTGGTGGCTGTTCTTGTTTCCCTATGATCTTGACAGATTTATACCTGACATCCAAATCGATATGCCTGTTGATGCATGCCTCGTCTGAGTGCATTGCCTCCAGAGATTTGCAGCTCTTCTTAGTTGGGCAGGCCCTGACGATTTGGGTTTCCTCCCATGCTAATGCATGTCCTGTGTCCAATGTGAGCAAAGCAACCCCGGAAAAATTGTCCCTTCTCCTCACCATAAACGGGTGTTCATGTATGCGGGTGGATATGGCTCTGTTGAGTTGACCACAATAGACGGCATCAAAACTGGCACACGGTATTATGACTCCCTTTCTGTGGAAATAGCCAGCACCGTCCTTAGGGTGTACAAGCTAAGTGCGCAAAATAATTGCCTGCTTGTGTGCAATCTGTATCTGGTGCTTTCGTTACTGCCTTTCGACGACCTCCGACACATTCTTAGCTTAGGCAAAAGCAACGAATAAATTATGGGTTATGGAGAAGCTGCTGGCCACAAAAAGACTACAAGGAAGACTGTTTCTGCGTCAGAAATTTTTAAAAATAAACGCATAAGGAAGCAAAAGGCACATAATTTTTACATGTGATCATTGTGGTCGTCTGGGGAGGTATCCAGATTTGCGAGCATGCAGGTTTAGGGGGAGTTAAAGATGGAGATGTTACATGCCTATTAATATTTCCAATCCGGCGGAGTTTATTATTTTACAGCGTAGTTCATACGTTTAGGCGCCTATGACCAGTTGTTGTGCTCATTTAACCGACCGTCTCTGCTCAAGGTCACTTCGCGTCAAGGTCATTCTTTACAAGTGCTACTGAACGCACTGCACTCACAGTCTGTCCGACTGAAGCATGGACACGAATGCGCGTCCAGACATCTAAAGCCACAAGCCATCACCCCATAAAAAGTAACACGCTACGTGGATAGCAGATCGTGGAACTTAGTCCTACAAAAGCAGCCGATATCGTAGGCTCTCCCAACCAATTAGCTACCTCGTCTCAAAAGTACTGCTGTGGTAAAAAAATATAAGGTTAGCAGGAAAAAGGGTCACTAGGTCCAAAAAACGACCGTGTCGGACATTTATTTCAGCTTTCGGCAATCCGTTGAGAAGAGAAGCCGGCCATCAAGTAATATTCCCCTGATTTTTTGTTTAGATTGCATCGGTGACCGCGAAGGTCTGCCGTTTGAGCCACTTTAAAAAGTTTCCCAACTGAAGAGCTCGCAGTTAGGGTAAATGGCTAGTTCAAAAACAAAAATCAAATCGCATCTGGAATGGTGCTGAGAACGAAAAACTGTAGGCCGCCCTCTCTCAGAGTAGGGATTTTAATTTGCCGACCATGTAGCCAACCACTGCAATTGCGCCACCAAGGCAAATTATGCCTAGGGCATGCGATCGTACCCAGATTCGTTGACCCCATAGTCTCGCCGATTTTACTACGATGCCAAGACAAATGACCGCAGGTGGGTTATAAAGATAATCAACAGGCTTACGTCTGCCGCACATGAACGGCTCTCCAGTACAGGTACGAGCCTTTCACGCGGACTACTCCGTCGGCCATATGAAGAAGGAGCCGTTGAGTCGGCTCTCAGTTCCAAGAGGGGCCAACTTACCCCCTTCCACCCCAGGTGGCAATCTTCCGAATCATGACGCTTGGCGTGTCGTGATGGATTAATGCACGTGAGATTTAGTATAGCCAAAAATACGCTGATTATTTTCCCGGACATGAACTCGCCAGTGTCATCTTAATCTCTCCTTCTTCTCTGGGGGTACTAGACGACTGTCTGAGCCTGTCAAACAGCTGCGACGCAATTGGACGTGACATGAGTCGACAGTGTCAGACTAGCGTCACCTACAGTCACTACTTTCTAAGACATCAGTTCAGGGTTCAACACAGAAGAATTTTCTCTTGCTGGTATAATTCGTACTGTCCCAGTAACCGAAATTTAGCCCGATGATTGTAGCTCTTTAGGCAAACCACCACAAACCACGAAAACATTTCCCTTTGACAATGAAGAAACACCGCGAGATCATTGGATTGTTTTTTTAGTTGCAAAAATCCCCATCAGAGAATTCGGAGGAGTATTGGACGAGCTTACGTAGGCTTTCGAGAAATTTTCGTTGAGCCAGACTTCGTGTCGACCCCAAAGAAAGCATTCCGGGTGATATATAAGGTCCCACCAAACTATCCTAAGTCCCTGGGTCAGCCCCTGCTAGCCACAGCAGAAGCGACTGCTATCAGATTTATGAAGACAGCGTTGTTTGCAAAAAAGAACCTCCTACAAGCTCCGCGTCTCGCGTGGTTCACAGTAACTTAGCAGCACGCATCCGTCCGCGCTTTGTTTCCCTCCCTCCTTCCCTAGACTGGCTCTAGCAAACCCTGCCCTTCTAACCAGCCTTCGCTTATCGGCCACTCCCCCTATTCCCAGGACTCGCTTGTACGAAAAAGTGAAAACGTTTTAACTTGTAGCCCGTTCCCATATAAATGCACTGGCTCGAAGAGAATTTACCGAAAGCCTACGTACGTTCGCCAGCTACTCTTCTGAATTAAGAAACAACGGCGTTTACATTATCATATGATGTAATAAGAATGCGATGGGGGTTGAGAGGAGAAGTTTTAATGAAGGGCTAGGGGAGGGGGGTAGTGCTGCGCATGGAGTACCGGGTTTCAATGGGTCGCGGGAAGTTGATTTGAGTAAAACGGATGCTTGCATTGCACAAGGGCTCGAAGAAGAGCTGGATGGAGGACGCTGACGCACAGGTCAGCCGTTTGACAGTCGACTCCTCCACCGACAGTCATCCCAGCCAGTGCCCTGTAACCAACTTTGACAACTTTTTCAACGTCTGTTTAGCGACCAGAATGCCGTAGATCTGCAAGGAGAGCTATGGGATGAACCGGTGAGATTATCTCGGTGCTTATTTATCGTGATAGGACTAATTAAAGCGTTTCCCGGCAGCTCAGGGATACAAAATCCTACTCTCTCTCTGTCAGCGCATATCTATTTTTGTGAACTTTTTTGTGATTTAATTCATCTGAGTTGAATTCTCATAGGTAAACCTTCAGTTAATGGAGGGTTCTAAACGTTCGCATGTTGACGCAAAGTAAGGAAGCTTGTTTTGGGTCAACCGAATGTCCAGAGTCTGGGACGCATTTCATTAGCTAAAATAAATACAGAATTTTCTGGAAGAATATTCTAAAGTTATCACCGCTGGAGGTTAAAAACAGATAAAAAGTATATTATTCTTGTGTACTTTTGCGGGTTTATTGACTAGGTGCATCTTTGCACGAAGAAATATTAACTTCTCTGGATAGAATAATGCATTTTTTGAATTTATTTTTCTTTTTTTATGGTAGGTCACTGAAATAGTGCATAATTTGCCAGTACGAGGGAGCTTGTAGCTGATAGAGTACCCAAATCGCTGGAGCTGGATCGTTGGCCTACAATGACTGGCACAGACTAAGTGATAAGTAATGTCCTCCACAGCGATTGGTTCAAACTAGTCTAGGAATGTCGGGTTCACCAATAAGACGCAGCGCCTGAGACATTAAGGCTCGGATTGGTTTGAGCAGAACTGGCCAATCGTGCGCTAAAAAGTCAACTTCGTTGTACATAAAGGCTGGCAAGACCGGCCCATGGACAAATTCGACGACAAGAATGTCTTCAGCTGGTAAGTCAGTCTGTTAAGTATGTAGATTTATTACATGCAATAATCTTCCTTCTTCTACACGTTATTGAATTCTGTCATACAGGGGAAATCTAAGATATCTTTTCCAGTTCAGAGTTAGTTAGTCACTTAAGTAAACATCTGACTGGCAGCGCACAGGATTAGTAATTCGGAAAACCCAAAGGGATTTAACGAAACGATTCCACCAGAATGTTTTATTGTTATTTTACTGCTGCTGTTGTTTGAAGAGATCTTAAGTTGTTTGCCTTAGACAAACATATAATTCCGGAACGATTTACTTTTACAATCGTTGGCGTCGTAAGCTAACTGATCCGCATCAAATGCTTAAAACAGCGTTGACCAATGACTACTCGTTCCTGGAGTCTGAGCCAAGTTACAAAGCAGTTATTTTCTCAGCGAGCTCGTTGCGGCCGACAAACGTTCTCGGTTTCCTAAAAAGCATGTAAACTCCTCGTATAATCGTCACTGTCAGTTGTTGTCTGCCGAGGGTGCATAACAAACCATCTTCTATACCAAACAAGTATACTAAAGAGCTTAGAGAGACGGGAATGAGTGCCCAGGTAAAATGCGTTTCTGAATCCACACTTGGGAGGAGGGGAGCGTCCAGACCTAACCTATCGTAAGACACCTCATTTAGCGGACAGCAGCAGAAACTGGCATTTTCTATGTTGATCTGTTGTCTTTTTTTAAAATTGTCTTGCACAAATGCTCTGCGTTCTAAATTGCCTAGAGCACCACTACCCCAAACACGAGAAAGGGCATGAGCACAGCCACGGCCACGAGCACGGCACCGAGGAGTGCAAGAAGGTCTGCGGCGACGATAAGGCGTGCCATGTAGACTGCCACAAGCCCGGCTCTGGCCACG